GGAGAAATGCTGCTCTAGAGGGAAAACCTGAAATAGTTGAAAATATTTAGTTGCAAAACTACAGCGGGAGGGAAAACCGCTGGTGGGAAAATAGGGCAAAGTGGGATTTTCTGAAAGAGGAACCTGCGCATTTTAGCATGCTACAGACATTCACGCTGAGGGTGAGCCCAGGGCTGGACCACAGGCCCTGCCCGATCCAGGGGGCATGGCAAGTCAGCGTAACGCCGAGAACGACGCTCCGAGCTCTCATCCTGGCGGGGCAGAAGAGGTGAAGCCTCACCCCCTCCGCAGCGTTGGCCACGGCCCCGCACCAAAGCCCCCCAGACCTCAGGACGCAAAAGCAGTTCGTCTCTCAAGGCCGCAGAATATTGCGGAATCGCCCTTGGTGATGTTGCCAACTTGGCTAGGTAGCCAAGATATCTGTGCCTTGGCCATCGTGTTGCACAGATAATCCCAGATGTCTAATAACGGGAGCTGGGCACTCGGGCTCGGCTCTTGGCGAAGGGTGTTCCGCACGGGCTAACTTACCTGACAGGAACGGAGCAGGTCGGTTACGGGGCGGAATGCTACCTTAACCGATGTGGGTTTTACCAGCAATGCTAGCAAAATACAGGATTCGCCTTCAGTGTTGAGGTACACTAAGAATGTGGGGAATCTCAGACTCGGAACCAGAACAATTCTGGCTTTGAGCTGGAGACTTAGGCCAGTAGGAGAGAACGGACCATGTGCCTACAAACTTCCAAATCCTCCCTTAAACCTTGGTTTCACTCAGTGGCAGAGAACAGTGCCTCGGTTGACTCTAAGATTTTAGCCTTCTGCTCAGAGGACCTGCATTTTCTGCAAAAGACTGCCTGGTCTTGAATTCAATAATCCCCTTTTGCACTAGGATTTGGCTACGACTGGGACAGATCAGTGGCCCTTCTCATTCAGAACCACCTGCCAGATACGCTCCCAGATTTTGGGGTGGAAATTTCCCCCAGCCTTAATAGCCAAGTATATTAAATGGAAAAGGCGGAGTTTGAGACGCCTTGCATGCCTACAGTCCAGGTCCAGGCAACAGTGGAAGGAGTCTCCATAAATCCTGGGCTACTGAACAAAATGCCGATGCATCAGGAACTCCAATCCAGTGGCTCCGACTCGAGGTTCTCCTTTTCCAGCAAAACTGCAAAGCGCCACTCGGGGAGTGTGGAACGTTTGGCAGCGTGCAACAGATTCTCGGGGAGAGAAGCGCGGAAGAAGATGGGAGATCTGTGCAGAACAACTTGGAGCAGAGGCAGCAGGAAGAGAAGCCGGGAGACCTTTCCTGAGAAGATGCGGCGAGGCAACGGCAGGGCTTAATTGGAAAGGCACAGCCACAGAGGTACGTGGGGGTCCCAGGCCGAGGTTCCACGCAAGCAACAGCTCAATCTGCTCGTGGCGGTGGCGGTCATGCAAGTGGGGCTGAGGAAACGCTCCTGGACTCACATCCACCGAATATAGAACCCCTGGCTGAGGGGAAGCCGCAGGTCGCTCACGCTGAGTACCTTTGGGAACGATCGCAAAAGATTGCCAAGTGAGCCGCTGGGGCCACTGTTTTATGTAGCTCTTCACATTACTGGCATTTTCATGCTCCACTTTTCTACTACGAAAAACATATGCCATTTCAAGCCGTTGACAAAATGCATACATACGTTTTAAAAATGCATCGGGTAAGAAACTGGAAAAGGCAAGAAGCAAAACCATAAAAATAAAAAAAGCTAACAAGCCAAGATATTTGCAGAATCATAGCATCCCCCATGTGCATAACATTGTTCAGAAGTATATAACACAGCTTCTGAAAAATCAAGAGCAACCCAACGGTGAGCCTTAAGGAAATGCACACAAATCCCTCGTTAAGATTAACTATCTACTGGTAACGAAACCTGGGTCACTTTGCATGTAGCAAGAACCAAACAGACGTAACCATATGTAGTGCTATAATAAAATCTAAATGAGTGCCAGAATATATAGTCTCTGCAGATAAATAAGGGTCATTAAGGTAGAAGACCACAGTCAAAACACACTTAAAGTTGGTTAAAAAACGAAGCAACCATCTCTAGCTATGTTTTTCAGGCAAAATTTGCTAAACACAGTGAAACGTTAACAGACATTGGTACCAGTTTGGAACAAAAAGTATTCAAAAACTGTTACAAATTATAAAAAATGAACCACCACCTTTTCTACATAAAAAGGAGGAAGGCTCTTTCCTTTTTTTTTAAGGCCGGCTTTTTTGCTTGCTGGAAAACCTGCTGAAGAGAAGCCAGACAGGCCTCACCGGGCAGGATATGCCACCCGCTAGGTCACACGCTGTACAATCTAAGGGGCCAATTGGTTAATTACCTGATTGGTCAAATAGGTGAATGGCCAGTCTTTGCCACTGACGGTGACAGTTTTTGGCTCTTCCCGGACTCCGTAGACACTGAGTTTCTCCACTGTGATGTAGGTGGCTTCCACACTGGAATGCAGGACGGTGGACGTGAAGGTGTTCTGGAAGAAGATTATGTATGATGGGGAGAAGAGAATCAGAAGGAGGGGGTGAGACTTGGCAAAGACTGCTGCTGCGTGCAGTTATAAAGACGTGTGGACCCATCTCCCAGAAAACATTGAATTTTGTCAAAAAGGAAAAGGCTTTAGCTGTTAGCAGGATGGCACCCCTTGCAGCTGGAGGGCTGGGACCCACCTCTGGTTGATGCCCACTGCTCATGCTGGTTGGGCTGGACAGAAACTGGTCATCTGGAGGGCCACAAGCTCTACACCCCCCCCCCTCAAGCTGCATAAGATGCCACAGCCAGACAAGGGGATGCTGAGACAGAGACCCTTCCTACACTTTTAAAATGACAGGGAAGAAGGAATGTCAGCCACCCTTCCCGTGACCAATTTGATCAATCTACATTCCCCCTTCTCCATATATTTCCCTTAAATACAGTCAACCTTTGGATGGTAACAGGAAGATGAGCAGGTCTGCTTTTTAAAAAACAAATTAGGGCATTTGTATTCTTTATCTATTTATCTTTATCTTTTCTTCTATTTGCATATCAAAACACTTTGCAAAAGAAAGGGGTCTTTTAAAAAGCAGGCTTTAAGTGGCTGGCTGCAGTTCAAAGGAAGAGAGAAAGTTCACTGGGCGCAACACGGCAGCGGAAGAAAAACACACGCTTGGCTTTCGGTTGGGAAACCCCGTCGCCACCTGTGACAAGAGCTGTCCCGAGGCATTCCTTCCTGCCTCCGTGAGCCCGAAAGTCCTACTTGAAGGAGGACTGAGCAGAGGACAGGCCCCTCTCCCACACGGCTTGCAGATGGACCTTCTTACTTGCATGACGTTGAACACCAAGTACGAATAGTCGCCCTTTTCAAAGGTGTCCAGGCTTTCGCCATCATCCCAGTAAAGATCTCCCCAGGCGTTGGCATTCTGGGATAAGGCCGCAATCAGTCTCAGGGGGTTCCGGCGACTCAGCCAAGTGCTGCCTCCAGGTTTCTGAGAGACGTAATGATCAGTGGAGGGAGGGATAGGGGAGAATGTCGCTCTGTACAGTCTGAGTAGAAGGTTTTCAACTGCGCAACACTGTCCTCCCCTTCCAGTTCTGCTTATAGCCAAGCAGACCCATTTTGCCAGCAGGGACTGTGACCTAATGACCCCAAAGCTTTGCAAGCTCAGGGCTGATGAGGAAGAACCTACTCCTCCCCTTCCATCTCTTTCTGTTTTATTTCCCAGGTCTGTATTTTAACCTTCTATGCTGTTCTGGGAAACATCTGGGCTGGAAAGTCATTGTTAGCAACGTATCAAATGGCATTAAAAGCTGAGCTAGGACAGAAAGCAGATCTCAGATTCTCTCTTAGGTCCAGGCTTTGGGGTTCTAGGGAGAGAGATGAGACTGCCCGCTTGCCTACAACCTCCCATTCCCCAGGAAACCCTCGCCTCTCAGGAGCTTATCCCAAAGCAGCTGGGGCAGTGAGGGAGGAGTAGGAGCATCTGCAGGTCTCACCTGAGTGGGCAGGATGGTCCCCTCTCGCAGATGGACGTTGATGTGATCTAGAGGTGCTGCCATTCTCAAGCTCTCCCCGCTGCTGTTCACTGAAGAACCCTGAAGGGGACAATGGGAGGCCATCAGGTTGGTGCCAAGCTTTTGGAGAAAGGTGGTCTCCTCAGAGTCTCAGAAATGGGGGTCTCCTGGACTCCAGAGAGATGGGACCATGATAGGAGCCCAGGGGCTGTGTCCTTACCGTGTAGTAATCGTACCAAACACCTCTGGGGAAGTAACCAGTCACTGAGTCTGCGCCAGATTCCAGAACTGGTGTCACCAGCAGGCCCCGGCCCCAAAGAAACTGCTTGTCTAATGCATAGGTGGCCTCATCCTTCGGGAACCTACCACAAGGAACGAATCATTGCAATGCCATCTGTCTCACATTAGGAAGACCCACAACCATTGAAGATGCCCCTTGAAGATGGCCTCAGTCTGTAAGCCCTGCTCCATACATCAGCCCATGGGAATAACTAGGAAGCACCTCAGTCAGAGCTGGGACCCAGAGCCAGGAAGAACCTCACCTAGGGCCAGAATGTCACCCTGAAATGTTGTCTGGGCAATCGCGCCTTTCCCAGGTTCGGAGACCTGTTTTCCTGGAGATAGTGGAACTGAACTAAGGACTCTGCATCCATAAAGAACCCTTTTGTGAACGTTTTCTGCAGGGCTCAGCCATGTGCAGAAAAGGACAAAAGGGATGGTAGATTTCCCCAAAGGAAGATCTACAAGAAGAAAGATGAGTGGGTTCAACACATTTTGAATCCTCAGGGCAATTCCCAAACTCTTTCTGATGTCCTCTTTCTGAAATGTTCGGCAATATTGGGGTGTGGGTGTGGGTGTGTGTCTTGGACCTCATCCAAGAATCCTTCCTTAAACTTAGCGAAGGACTCACTCAAAAAACAGAGGGCGGGCTACAGTGTCCCCTTGCAGATGAGCCCGATGGAAGAGAGTATACAGAAGTGGCAACAGGGCATAGCGGAGTTCCAGGGCCTCCTTCATGGCAGTCCGGCCGGCCGGGCTAAAGGCTGTGGGATCTTGAGCCTGTTGAGAGGAAAGCATGAGTGATGTTGTAGGTGAGGGCTGTAGGGTAGGCTGGAAGAACAGACGTTCCAGAAGGCAACAGCAAATCACTTTACGCTGCTTTCAGAAATACTTCAATAGATCTGCCCACGAGGTCCTTAGGAATCAAATGTAACTCAAAGGAGACATTACCTTCTTAGAGCAAGAATTAACCTGGCCATGGATCATGTTGCTGGGAGGGGAGAGCTATACTCCAACAACCTTAAAGGGAGCTCTTCAGAAGAAGAGTGAGATAATTTTCTTAATGAAAAAAAAAAAAAGGATCCAGTTGCACATATGCCCAGACTTCTCTGTTGTGTCTCTGCGTGAGTCACAACTACTTAGGGGGTGCACTCAAGTCAGAGATTCATACAGAGATGCAACAGTGAAGACAAGCAGTCCTTCACTTTTTTCACATGGAAAGTAAGGCTTTCTTGCATTAAGTACACCTCAGATTCTGTGCTTTATTAACAGAGACAAGAGCTGGAAAAGCAAAGCCTCCTCTTTTAGCCCCAATAAGGAGATGGAAGTAGATATTTGGGAGAAGCTTTACAGAGAAGCAGGGAGATGAGCCCCCTCCCTGTCCTAGATTACCTGCTCATCCTGGCTGTTGTGATTTCGTGAAAAGGGATAGAAAGCCCCCAGCTGCATCCAGCGAATACAGAGTTCTTCTGAGGTGGATTTGAAGAAGCCACAGATGTCGGCCCCAACCAACGGGACTCCAAAGAGACTGAAGCTCAGCATTCCTGGGGATTTAGACAGAGGCAAAATGAGGCGAACATCTGGCTACAGATGTGCAGGTTTCAGTGACTGATTCCCAGATTAGATAACTCCGGTGTGCTCAATAAGGGGAGACTCAACTATGGACAGATAGCTTGGACATTTTGGTGAGCTGTATTTATTGGTAAAAATGCAAGATAAAGGATAAGAACGGGGTCCTGAACTGGGTTTGGAAATGTGCAGAGTGCTGGGGCGGCACCGATATGATGCTGTTTTACTGGCAAATTACCCATAAGTTTCCCATTTACAAGTTTTGCCCTTCTAGCCATGGGCATGGGACAGCCCCATGTTGACCTTATAACACACCCACACAGAAACATAAGCTTGAAGTTTCAGATGCCTTTGGGTTTGGGGCTACTGAATGCCAGTAACTCACTTTGGGGGCTCCCCTCTGTGGCATTCCCTACATGTTTATCTCTCACTGTTTGGGAGGTTTTATTTATTGATGGCAGTGGTATAAAAAGTGAACAAGTCAATTGACTTGGAGCAGTTAACAAGAGAACATAAAATAACAATCCATTGTAATGACCCTTAGACCAGCCTAGCATTTTGGGTGCTCAGCTGCAATCAGCTCAGCTCAAATACCTGCTTAAAAAGGAGACTCAAATTTGGTGATTTTGGGGATGTCATGAGGAAAGGGGGGGTAACCTTATCATGGGGGGGGGCATATTCCACACTAGCAAGGCAAAATAGCTTGTAAAACAAAACGAAACGAAACGAAAAAACCCTGAAGGAAGGTTGTGCTGTTCGATCGCCTATATCCTTGACTGCTGCTTTGTAGCCAGACTGGCAGTTCATTTTATGTTACAGACCCTCTTCTGAAAAGCTTCCGCAGAAGACAGGAACTTTTAAAAGAATAAAGTTATAAATCAGCTAGGACAGACCAGAAGAAGCGACCAGCAGCTGTCCTCGACATTCCCAAAGTTTAGAGATACTTAATGGTCTACCTATGATTCAGGAGCAGCAGATTTTAAAAATACATCCAAGAGCAGCTGATAGCTGATAGGCACCTGGAATGGACCAAAACATATCCTTCCATTCACTCTGGTTGTCACCCAGCCAGTGTCCTGAATATCTGCCCTGGCTTGGGAAAGTGGAACGTGAAATAATGAAGGGTCTCTTCCCTCGGATTTCAACCAGAGCACTGCAAGAAAATTAAAAAAAAAAACTAGTAAAGAATAATGTACGCCTTCGCAAGGATAATGAATCCTCAGCATGGAGGAGGAGGAGGAGGAGGAGGAGGGGCCTAGAAACCTCCTATTGATCCCTCCTCCAAGAAAGCCGTTCCCAAAGGCAACGGGAGCCTGGCCTACCTTGCAGTGGCCTTTGCTTCCATCAGCCCATAGAGGTTGTGGAGATTGTAATGCACAGAGACGCTTTGCTTGGCCGAGGTGCAAATAGTCCTTGCAGAAAGGAAACCTCCCAGGATCCCTAATGGAGGCAGAGAAAGGGAGGTGAGGGGAAGAAGGACCAGCGTGGATGTCTGCTCAGCAAGCCCCGTCTGCCTAGCTCCATCTGCACCTCCAAATCCAGCCTGAGGGATGCTAAGGCACGAGGCTATCCTTGCACAGGTATACAAACCCATCCTGGGCTTCCCTCTGGGGGGTAAGCAACATAATGCAAAGCACGGAAAAGGAGTAAGAATGGAACAGGAGGCTCCAGAACTGGGATCAGGAGCCCCGAGCTTCTCAGAGGTTGCTGAACTACAGCTCCCAGCATCCTTCGTCAATTGGTGAGGGTGGCTGGAACGTGGACTTCTGCAAGCTCCAAAAAGCCACATGTTCCCACCCCTGCTTTACAAGAAGGCCAAGACTTTGGAGCTTCAAACTAACACTTGGGCTGCTGAACCCATCCTCTGGAACCTTCCTGAACAGCTCCTTCAACTTCCATAGCCATAGTTGTTCTGTGGCACATAATGTCATCTCCAATGAGTTTCTTGCTAGTTTCAGTAAACCTGGACGCTTCTCCTCTGCACTCACCAACCAGCAAGGCCATCAACCAGCAGATCTGCTGAAGCAGCTGATACTGTATGGAAGCTCATTAAAGGGTTGGTGCCAGTTTTGCTACAGCAGATTTTAAGTTATCTCATTTCTTACCAGGCACATAAGGTGGGTTATCTAGCTCTCCTTGGGAACATCCTTCTGTTGAGCCATCAATAAAGTTGGATGGTTCATTCATGTCCTAAAGCAAAGAGATCTGGATGGAGTTAAGAAGACCAGTTCAATTCTGGCCACTGAACACAATCTACCCTGGCCTGCTACAACCAGGAAGAGTAATCTGTAAGGTATGTTCTAAGCATAACAGCTAGAATGTCCAGCCTGCAGAGAACTGACTTCAAGGTCAGATTTGAATTGAATTAAAATTCAGTTCAGTTTTTTTGCTCCCAAATTGTAGATGGAGAGCCATGTTAGCAAGAAAATCAGGAGTTTGGCAGCACTTTTTCTGACTGACAAATTTTGTTACAACGCATCACTTGTATGAGTTCCCTGGATCCATGAATCCATGGTTGCATCTGATGAAGTAAGCTGTAGCTCAAGAAAGCTTATGCCTTTTAATAAAATGTGCTAGTCAGAAAAGGTGCTATCAGAGCCCCTGATTTCTCACTTCCTAATGGAGTTCCTGGCTTGGCACTTGGAAGCCCTCAGTGTTGTATCTATCTTCTATTTTTAATAACGTCTAGTTCACAGCCATTCATGTCTTGCCATTCAGAAACCAAGAAACGTTAAGAAGGAAACGTACGATCCAAAGGCCATCAAAAGGAACCAGAGCGTGAAGACGGTTCAGGTTTTCTAGCCACCAACGATGAGTGTTTGGGTTAGAAAAGTCAGGATAAGCAGTGAAGCCGGGCCAGACCTGGCAAGAAAATAGAATTTAAAAAACAAGACCAGATCTGGTCATAAGACGCATAAAGAACTTCAGCCTGTTAGCTCCCAACAAGGAAGCACTCAGTTTGGTCCAGGACAAATGGGCAAAATCAGAAGACTCAACTTCCAACAGCTTCAATGGGCTCCCTGTTCCTCTGAATGACGCTGTGAGGAAAGAAACAGTCCCAGACGGAGAACCCCAAGAGCATGTACAAAATACTTTCCCTGGGTATCTTTATGAGATCAACAACACGTTCAAAACAGCTTGATTGAAAGTGGTTTTTGAGCACGGGCAAGAAGTATAAGAAATCCCTCTGAGCTTTATTTAAGATTTAATTTTCTTATGGCCTATAAGGAAATCCAAGCAAGTAGGGGTAGAGACGCTAAGCGGAGAACAAAGCAGAAATCATAATCCATGTGACTGCATGCAGCCTGCTGCAGGATGAACTATTTAGCGCTGCAGCTCATCTCTGATCCCTCACGAGAAGTTGCCAAGTTCTTCTGATTAACGCCCAGAAATCTGAATAATGTGGGTTAACTGAAGGCACTCTGAAAACCAAGATTGGGATTGACTAAATGCAGTGCAATAACTCTACAAGTTATTAGTAGAAGGAACTAAGCCATATTCATCCCATTTATTTGAAAGTATCTAGGCAAACGATAATGGCCCATTTGCAGTTTATGACAGAAAAGCTTGCTTGAGAAAACACATCCAAAGTTTAGTTATTATGTCAGTTTAAAGACTAGGGGAAAGATTAAAATAGCACCTGTTCGTTCATATCTCAGGAAAACTTGGCTGCATCTCAGGCAGACGGAGTTCTAGCAACTTAGCCCCATTCTCTGCTTGGAGGACCTCAAGAGCTGAACTACTGGGATTTCTGCAGTAAAGATGCTCCTTATTCAGCTACAGTCCTGCCCCTTCCTGATTGTGAAGGTGGATGATGGACTTTAAAGGGACTCCCTTAGAGCAGTGCATTGATTCAAATTTAAGAAAGATAGCAGACGCTTACGTTTCCTATCAGAGGTTTCCCTTGCGTGTTGTTGATGAATACGCCACGCTTCAGACCTTCATCATAAGGCCAGTAAGAGCCAGGAGGTTGAGTGCTACTGATTCCGGGGTCCTGAGAGAAAATAACACGAGAACCAGCTGTTTTGTACAGCAGCTTTCCCAGACTGGGCATCTTCCAGATGCGTGGCTAGAATTCTCAGAAATGGCCACGGCAGCTGGGAAAACCTGCCAGTTGAAGTCTACATATCTGGAGACAGACATTTTTAAGGCCAATACTTTGGACAAGCTCCAAGGGATCCCTTAGACATGATAGATTTTGTTTACTCATTCAAGCAGCATTGTAAATAAGCTTATAAGAGTTACTAGCCTATCAAGGCTTGTTATTGGTCTCTTGGAACTGTCAGAAGAGGGACAGAGAACAGCCTACTTCCAGAAAGCGACGACATTTCCATTCTGGCTAAATAGGATTGCCAAAGTTTTGTTCTGGGAAGGCTCGTATATTTTGGAAGCAGATGGACATTGAGCCAGGTGCATGTTTGGCTAGCAAAGCTGTTACAGCTCTTGGCTCGCAGAGCAGCTATTTCAACCGCAGTTTGCTAGAATTGCTGCTCTTGCTCTAGCAACCTAAAAAGTGTGTGTGTGTGTGTGTGTTTGTATTTATACATAACACATAGACACGTTGGCTGGAAAGAGAAATCAAAAAGTTACACACACACACACACACACACACACACTCAACCAAAGTATTAATGGAAGGAAGATCCCTAGTGTTAATAGTGGAAAACCCTTTGTGCGGCTCTTCTGTGCTTCCCTTGTTAACACATTTTCTATAGTAAGAAAAGAGAGCGAGGAAGGAGCCATGAGACAAGATGGATGGGCTCAAAATAGCTGGTGATGTCAAGATGAGCCCACAATAAATGGCTCGTCTAGAAGTTTTCCAGGTAGCAACATAGAACTGAAGGGGCAGAAGCCAAGAGTCAGTGGGTCATCCCCCCCAAAAGAAGGAAATGACAGAATTAAGGTCCAGTCGTAAGAAGAGATGAGACTGAGGATTTTGCTCGTGGAGGAGAGGCGTGGCTGATTTGGTTGGTTTTTTAATTCAGCTCAGTTCGATGTATCCGATTTAGCCGCTCCCCGACTCCAGAGCAGCTCTGGGGGGCTCTCAGTATAACAGACCAACCAAAGTATGATATGCATAAGAAATAAGGAAAAAAAACAAGTTAAATAAGGAACAAGTTAAAATAAAAAAGGTGGCAGAATATGGTCAACACCAAAAACACGTACAAACCCATCCCACAAAGGATTGCAGCCCCCTCGCCCAGGGCCTGGAAGAAGAGCTGGGCCTTTAAGGCCTTCCAGAACACCATCAAGGTGGGAGCCACCCAGATCTCAGGGGGAACCTCATTCCAGAGGGCAGGTGCAACAACCACAAAGGCACATTTCAAGGGTCCCAGAAGATGACTGTTTGATCGAAAGGATCCGGAGTGCTCCAACCCCGGAGAACAGAGCACTCCATTTTCCCCCACGTGAATCCATCATTCCTATTCTGCTTCTGGGTTGCCGAAGAGCAAGGCGTCAGAAGTGTGAGGAACTCCTAGCGCGGAAGCAACTTCTGCTTAAAACTGGAGTGAAAGGAAGACATTATTCCTTTCTTCTTTACTTTAAGGGGGGGGGAAATCAAACTACCAGGATCAGCACGTAGTATTGTCCGTGCTTATGAAGATCTTCTACCAGCTGGGGGAGACTGGCGAACCTCTCGGAGTCCACGGTGAAGTCCCGGGAGCCGTTCATGTAATCAATGTCATTCCACTGGGCATCCTGCAAGAGGAACAGGAGGGAGAGCAAAGGGGGAAGCATCCCCGGGCTGGCTGGGGAATCCAGAGCAGTACAGAATGAACTAGTTTGGGGATGGCTCCTCTGAAGAACAGGAAACCATTCCGCGCGCCTGACTGGTTAAGCTGTAGACTCAATGGATCATGCAGGGGGTGCAGACGACCCACAGCAATCCAGTTTTATGGGGCTACCATTGCCATCACCCCGAGCAGTGGCTGGGCAGGCCAAGGACAGCAGGAACCGTATTCCAGCAGAGCTGGCTGGACTCGAGTGTCGGGCAAGGGCTGGAGAGACTAAATCTGCCATCTCCTCCTCCTTCTCCGAACGCTCCCATTGTTCTTACCTGAGGGATCTGAAAATTCCGCATAGCTTTCACCATCTCCCACGTCTTGTTGCTCGTCTCATACCCCCAACGGCAGAGATGGAATCCCAGTCCCCAAAAGGGGGGCATGGCTGGAAACCCTGCAACGCAAGTGGAGGACATTCAATGCATCAGCCTCTCTAGTCAGGCCTACTTCTAATAGGTGTGTAACTACATCCTTTGTCATAAAGAAATGTCATTTATGAAGGTTCTTCTGGCAGAGAAACAAAACCAGCAAAAATAGAGCCATTTCTCCTGGACTGAGATCTCTGAATTGCACTTGGGTAGGGAGGTTTCCTAGACGAGAACCCAAAACACAAATGAAATCAAAGCTGGAAGGCAGGGCAGGCCTCTAAGTGTGAGTGAATAAACTTCTCATTATAGGAGGCATCAGGTGGCTCCTGGATAAGTCTCTAGGTAGCAAGGGCACAGCCTTCCCCAACTGGGGGCCCTCCATACTGTAGGCTTCCAACCTGCTGCCCCACACCCTCAGCCAAGCTTTCTTGGCCATTGTCTGAAGTTCCCAGCCAGTTTTGAAGAGATTAAAAAGTCTTCCCACTGTGCTGCTGTTTCTTGAGATACTCACCAATCACCTGCTGGTATTGCCGGACCACCAAGTTGGGGTCTGGTCCTAAAAAGATGTAAAAATCTAAAATTCCCCCAATGGTCCTCCATGTGAGGGCAGGAGCAGGCTGAAGGACCACCTCTAGATAGTGAAAGGAAGAGAGAGAGAAGGGAATGTCAAATTAAGTCTTTCCGGAGACTTTCTGGAAGGTGGCACCATGAAGAGGTAATGCTTGTTCACTTCAAAAGCATCAACATATTCTTCTCTACAACTCTGTGGGTCCCCAAAGGACTTGCTATTTCACACTTCTGCTTGGGGGTTACCATTCCCACGTGCAAAAGGCTGCCCACATTTTTATTAAGTGTACCCCTAGCTGCCTGAGAAGGGCGAAATTGAACATGAAACCTTTTCTGCTTTCATAGATACCGAGAAAAAAAGTGGACAGACAAACAGCTTTCAACTGCTTTATATCTGCTATGTCTTTGGTTTCTGCTCAGGATGCAAGACTAGAGCTGATAGCTCACTGGTAAGTTTAAACCAGCCACTATGGTTTTCAGCTCCATTCCCACATCAGTGACTTTTGGCTTCCTTGACTCAGCACCCCCCTATATACAAATTCATTTGCAAGCTGTGACTTGGAAGGGCTTCTTAAGAAACGGTGGGCCTGAGCCGTTTGGGCGCCGCCAGCTGCTTATTGCTCTCCACACGAGTCGTGCATTTGATGCTCATTTATCTTTGCCGAGCAGTAACCGAACTCTCCTGGACCAAGCAGGACCCTGATGCAGAGGAAACTCTCAGCCTCCAACAGCCTGTCTTCACAGAAGCACGTCAAGACAAGGTGCCTGCTGCTCTCGCTGTCCTTTGCCCTTGGCCTCAGCAACAGCCCATCAGAAAATCTTGCCCACTTCTACCAAAATAGGAAGGATGCTTGCCTGCCTGTCATCTCAGCTGATTCAGGCCATCAGACTCCCTGCTCTCTATCAGCCAACCCGCTCTCTCTCTCTGCAGACAAAGGGCCACGGTCAGGGCAGAAGTTCACAAAAGGCAGACGGCCAAGAGCGTTAAAGCAGAGGCGAGGGGCCAGCAGCCGAAGGTGCGGTTAAACGCTCAACAGTTGCTAAAGAGACCATCTTGAGCCAGGAAACAGATGTCTTGGCTCCAGAAAGAACCCTTGCAACCTCATTTCCCCCTTGTTGCATCTCAATCCTAAGTTCCTGAAGTACTGACTCACAGCATCTTCCTGCAGCTTTGTACATCCATTCAAGCAATTAAAAGGGAAGAGGAACGGGTATAAGTTTTCCTTTCAAAGGAGATGAAGTTAATTCTGGCTTGGCTTCCCAGACTAGACATCAGAAAGCACAGCTGCTCATGAACCGAGTAAATAGAATAAGTATGTACACGTGAAAATAAAGAAATGGCCAGAAATAGGCTCACGCTCGAGCGACATTTGTTCATCCCACATCTTTGCGCTCTTATGTTCCATATTAAACGCCTCCAAAAGGGAATAAAGGAAGCACGCACCCATCAAGTTGCTGTTCAGGAGGAAAACCCCATGCGCAGCTCCACCTTTCTCCATGAGAAGATAGAATGGGTGGACGCCATAGAGATTGTAGGACTCCTGCACGTAATAGAGAAAAAAAGGCTGCAGCGTCTTCATTTAATTTTCTTCCATAGCCAACCGTCAGAATGATTTCAAATTGGTACATTTGACCAATTTGAGACACATAAATACTTAGGAGGAACTCTACTGAATCACACCAAAGGTGCATTCAGTATTGTGTCCCACAACAGTTGATCAGAGGCCTCCAGGAAGGCTACTGGCCAAATGTGGAGGAACACCAGTTTCTTGCTGCAGTTTCTAAACATGCTAGTTTGATCTGAACAAGTATAGAGCCATTATAACTAGACACCATAATTAGTTACCACTCTGAATGTCCATTCTGGCACATGGATGTCCAGAGAAGGAGGGAGACTAGATCAGGAAGGCCAAAAAAAAAAAATTACATTACTGAAAAGAGTTACTCATAAATCCAGCATAAAACCTACTGCAGGAGGGACGTCTCGGGCCCACAAAGGCAGCGTGTTCCACTCCAGATTATGTAGGAAGTTACTCTCATGTTCCCCCAACCCATAAAGAAACGTCGAAGGTAGAACAGTAGAAATCTGGAGAAACTGATCTGCAAAAAACAGGGGAGCCACAGTTGTGTTCAACCTAGAGAAGGAGAAAAGATCCCAATTAAGGGAAAATGACACATTTTCTTTTTGAAAGTTTTTTTTTTTTTAGTTTTTGGGGCTCAAGAGGGGCTTTTCAGGGTGACAGCAAAGAAATAAAGGATTGGAAAACCACAGGAGCGCAGTTCATTCAGCTGGGAACTGGATCCTCCATCATTCATGACCAAAGTGGCCGCTTAGTCCAGGAAAATAAATCAACAAATCTGTACGTTTGTGATAGGAAAATAGCTTCCTCAATTTGAGTTGGTAAGAAGCCCCAAGATTCTGCCAAGCATGTGCCAATCTTGGTCCAGGCTGTGATACAATGAACAGATCCTGAATATCCTATGATGATATGAAGCAGTGAGGAGTCCCAGGTGGAAGGTTCCTGCCTCTACCAAAAACCTTCAAAAGTTGAGCAGGAGGCATTGTGACCATCTACGGTCCTTGACTGACTGTCCTCAATGCGGGCAAATCACGGAAGCAAAGGTGCTTAATCAGGAAAATATCCAGGCATGGTCTAATGAGGTGCTGCCAGCAACACCTCCTGGTAGCTACCAAGAACGGAAGAAATTCTTCACTCCTGGTTTTCCTGCAGTGCCAGCTATCAGCTGCCACCCATGAACCATGGACTGGAGGGCACTGGTGGACAATGCAGGAAACTCAGCAATGTAACAACAATGTCTGGATTCCTCATTTTCAAAAATGCAGAAGAATACTGATTTCAGGGTACGGAGCTGTCGAGCAATCCCTCTTGGCTGTTGCTAATCTTACATTGAGGGCTATCGGGCAACATCTTTCTGGAAACTCAGCATGAGAAAACCACTAACCTAGAGGGAAAAAATGCTTACAGAACTGTCCCTGAAACTCTTCGCTTCACGATCAGACCAAAAGGCTCCTTGCAGAACTCAATGGAATAGAGAGGATTCTCCGCTCTCTTTGTGGCTTGAGGAACATCAAGGGGCACCTCATACCGAGGATTGGTGGCATCGGTGATCTACAAAAAGCAAGGGAAACACAAACATGCATAATGTGGAAACAAAGGTAAAATTATGGGATGGCAACAAGAAATTTTAACAAATGACTCACCTTGACATGCAACCGAGAATCTGTTTCGAACTCCACGCTGAGATGCAACTTCTCAATATCTTTTGGATAGTAAGCCTTTGTCTTTCTGGTCAGAAAACCCACCATCCCCAGGTCAGTCTCATTCATGCTCCCCAGGGTGTAGCTGGGGAAATCAGGGGGATAAAAGCACCATGGAACCCCCTTCATTCTATCTAGGGGCCTCTCACTGTCCACAAAACAGCACCCCCGACCCTCACAAAGTTCTCGTGTCACAATCACATTTCTCTCAGGGTAACAGTCAAAGCGACGGTTTTCTGGCACAGAGGTGCATTTTGACCAGAAGGGAATTCCATGCTGATCCCACCAAATCTGCCCAAGAACCCAAACAGTCACCCCACTAAGGAGGGTGGCTACCATCAAGAGGCCCCCACCTAGCCACCAAGCAGACAACTTCTGATGGCATAGCGGTTTTCCATCGGCACCTTCCTCCCCAGCCTCGGTGATCTGAGAGACATCAGTGGTCAGTTTCTGATAGGATTTCATGGTCTCCGTTGCTGCGGAAGGAAAATAAGCATCAGTAGTTCTCAGACTCATAACGATGGGAACTGAAAACAAGTAAAGTTATTTACACCGCAGGGATCTCCTGCAACACAGGGGAGAGGGGCACCCTCTGAAGATGATCTGAAAGCCTCAGCTGATGCCAAGGGCTCCTACTGAGGGAACTGAGCCGATTGAAGCAACAGAGCAGATCCCATCATGGCTTAGATGTCTCAACCAGCTCCTAGCTTGGTTCCAAGCACAAGGCAAGACCAGCAAAGAGTGAGTTCATGAGAACATTTTAATTCGGGAGCTGGAGGCTAAGGCATCAACAACTCCCACCCAAGCTGCCTTATTTTTGAGATCATCATCACCTGTCTTCTCTCTGCCCACTCCCCGCTTTCTTCTACTTTGCTCTTGCTATGCAGCAGTCGTAGCCATGTTGGTCACGGCCGGAAAAAGAAACCCAAGTCTCCTATCAAAACGCAGTTGCCTGATTAGGCTAACTGCAGGTTTACGCAACCACGCGCAATCTTGGGAGCTTCTAGGAAGTCCTCCTCAGTCAAGATGGTTGGAAATCAAGGAGAGGGGGCAGAGAACAGGACCTGGGGAGAGCAGGTGCAAACTTTATTCGAGAAACAAACGTTCCTGACGTGACAATCCAGCCCTTCGGGGCTCGCTTTGTCATTTTTGTCATGTCAAGAGGAAGGCCAGCCAAGAACTAAAACAGCTAACCAAACCATACCTGTGTGTGTCTCCTCTTGATATAGCAAGAGCCGGAAGGGAAGGAGAGCCCGCCTAGCGTGCGGCACTTGCAAAGCCGTACTGTAAACCTTCTACAATAAGCGCCTGCTCAAAATGAAGCCAAACCAAATGCGTCCTTCCCTCCAAACAGGGCATTGCAATCATCTGAAAGTTTTTTTTTTTTAAACAATATTCCACCCCAGCCCCTTTCCTTCGGCACCAGGCCTCACCAAGCACAACCCGGTTCGTCATTTCAATCTTGACCCTTTTTCTTTGGCTATTGGCAGACGGCCCATTTATTTCACAGGCAAGAAAGAGGCAGGGAGACCCAATGTGAAAGGACAGATGGGGTCACTTGCACCTGGCCTCTGGCCTTTCCGGGTCCGTGTCTTAGAAGGCCAGAAACGTAATGGAAGCTTGCTGTACAAAATCTTTGGCCGCCGTTTTTCTTTGCTCTAGGTGCATTGCACGTTTATCAGTTTCACTATATTTTAATCCCACTGTTTTATGCAAGACATTCTAAGCAGTTTAGGCCTAAGCTAGAGCATAAAACGGTGCTACTTTAAGAATGGATATAACAATAAGGAAAAGCTGCATTGGGCAGAGTAGAACCACCTCTATGTAGCATCAAGCAGTCCTTGACTGCTTGTTGTGATTTATAGATCTGAATTGGAAACTAGCACAATTTTTGTTTCTGTCTCCTTTCCCTTTTGGAGAGTGTTTCCTCCCAGGGCATGGAGGTGTCCCTTTGTACTTTTTAAATCTGCAATGCACATAGAACCTACCGTATTAATAACTGCAATAGGTTAAATAACGTAGTGTACCAAAACTGAGGAGATGGAGCAATAGATGGTCTCTATGGCTAAATTCAATATGTTAAAGGACTAAGCTAGCATCTACCAGTGTTTCTCAACCTCAGCAAGTTTAAGACATGTGGACTCCAACTCCCAGAATTCCCAAGCTGGCTGGGGAATTCTGGGAATTGGAGTCCACACTTCTTCATTAATTGATGGCTGAGAGACACTGGTCTATATCAACATTTTATGGGTATATTTTTAGTTTCTACAAATGTAACTCTTTATTCATTATTCTGTATATTCTTTCCTGATGTTATTAGCACTGTTATTTTTTGGTTACACTTTATCATCTCCTCTGCTTGTTATACTTACCAATAAAATATAGGTCCGTATTAAAAAAAAAATAACAGCAATAGGAGCGCGCAGTCAAAATCTGCAGTAACCTTCAGACGGGTTGGGTAAAATTCCCTAGCTTGTCCG